TTAAAATAATGTAAAATGATATGTAAGTAGCATAACACTACAACTGTGACTATATTGTAATTATTTTAGTTTAATATTATTATAGATAATAATATACTCTACCTATATTTCTTCTGTTAATAAATATATAGAAAACGTTTTATAACTATATATTACACAAATAAATATGAATAAATAATAATATAAATTTATTAAACATATAATATAAACTTTGTATTACTATTATTTGTAGAAATTTAGCAATAAATAATCTGTAAGATAGATTTCGTTTTACAACTTAACTTTACAAAACTTTTTGGCAACATCGTAGCTAAGAGTAATCAACCCGTAAAGAGCAGTGAAAGTTCATCACCATCATCATCACCATTCCCTTTTATATAGTTCCTGCGCCAAAAGAAGCTATAAAAGCCAAAAGGCTAAAAGTATTAACATCTCAGAACAAAGAAGTTATATATTTCCACTACTAAAAAGTTCGGAGTCAATTCATAATTAAATCCATCGCGCCATCTACCGGAAAGGGCTGAACAACATCTGCCGGGCTAATCTAATGTAAAGTAGTAATAACATTGCTTTAAAAGTAGTTGTCTCTTTTAACGCAATGTTACTCCAAGTTGCAAACTGAGTCGGTACGTGCTCAAGTGTCGACGGCGGACGCTAATAAGCTGCCAATTTGCAAGTGTACGCGCACCCTTAACATGTAGGTGCATACATTAGGACCTAATTTTCAAACTTGAATCCTAAATTACCTTGATCTTATGAATTTTTCATGTGACGCACTTTTAATGCATAGTTTGACTATCGTAAGTGGAATGAGGGAATGTGACAATTGAAAGGATGGTAGCACTGACGGCACATGAGTAAAGAAACCTTACCATACAGAGGCAAAGCTTCATACAACTGCGCTGTGATAATTACATTACTACAAGCTTGAAGCGCATGTGTGCGTGAGCACTGGTGACTCGTCACGTACAGAAAGAAACTGCTTTAAACCGGCTCGGCCTGTGCTCAAAATCAGGGTTGTGTAAAGAATAATAAGTGTAAAATTTTAATTTTTAAAGTGTTATTCGTGTCAAATGAAATATAAAAAGTGTAAATATGGTTTACGTAGATTTAGATCTTATCGAGGTTGGCGCAAGATCTCCTAATAAATATAAAAAAAACTTTTTGACGGGATAGTTATCAAATTGAGTTTTCAGAAGAAATGCTAACATTTTTCAGGAACTTAAAATCAATAAGAAATGATAGGCAGATGAACGTTACAAATAGCATGAATTTCATTCACGGATTTCAAGTGTCTATAAAAACTTTAACAAAACTTAACGAAAAATTAGAATCAAAAGAAACAAAATTCATCTGGGGGCACGTCTTTGTTTATTTAGTTTTATGCTCTTGTAAACAACCCTACCAAAATAGGTAAAAATGATGACAACTCCTTAGGAGCTTTGCCTCCGTACTGTTTCTTTACTCATGTGCTGACGGTTCAGAAGCTGAGCGCTTGGCCTAAAATTTAATAGCAAGCGAAATACAATCCGTCTTAATTGTAATTTGCAATTCCAAATTCAAATTCATTTATTTGTTTGCGATATTATGTGGGCTACAATAGATTTTCATAATTTCAACAAAAATATAGCCATATTGTAATAGGTTGTTCGGAAAGTTATTTCGTTTTTTTTTGTGGAAATGAAAGACATTTTTCGTATAATAAACAAATACTTTATTAAATTATATATTGACCGTTCTGGTCCAACACCTTTTGCCATCTTTCTGGTAGTAGCATAATTCCACGCTCATAAAATTTTTGGTCTTTGCTGGCAAAAAACTAATCGAGGAGGTTTTTGACCTCCTCATTTGAGGTGAAGGTTTTACCGTCCAAAAAATTTTGCAGTGACCGGAACAAATAATAATCCGATGGTGCCAGGTCTGGAGAATATGGTGGGTGAAACATTGCATCCCATTCAAGCTGTAAAAGCTTTTGGCGAGTGACCAAACTTATGTGAGGTCTCGCGTTATCTTGGTGAAACACTACACCTTTCCTGTTGATTAGTTCTGACCTTTTCTGTTGAAGTGCATCATTCAGTTTGTCCAGCTGATGACAGTAGACTTCCGAATTAATCGTTGTGTTATCCGGTAAAAGCTCAAAAAAAAAACGATTCCTTTAAAATCCCACCAAACAGACAGCATCACCTTTTTTCGGCTTTGGAAATGGTTTGAGCCGGTTCATCTTTTTTGCTCCAAGACCTCTTGCGTTTGACGTTGTTGTATACAACCCATTTTTCGTCCCCAGTAATGATGCGCTTCAAAAACGGATAATTTTCGTGACGTTTGAGAAGCGAATCGCAGACGTCAATGCGGCGACACAGATTTCTTTCTGTGTACATCGAGCTTCGAGGATAATCCCAGGCCTTTCAAGTGGTCATAAACTGATGAATTTGATAAATTTAACCTCAATCCGATCTCACGTGTTGTTATTCGCTGGTTCACATCAACTAATGCCTTTATCGCGTCTTTATCAGCTTCAATCCTCTGTCGGGAAAAAACGAAATGACTTTCCGAACAACCCAATACTAATATTTATTATTATAATAATGGAAATTTCATATAATTAATTTACTTATTATAATCTTATTTTTATTAATAACATCCAATTAAACACATAACGTATTAGGTACTATAATGTCATGTGTTAAATTGTTATGATCCAATGCAGTACTCACGCCCGTAGCGATACCGCTACACACGAGAAATATAAGAAATGTTGGTATAAGACTATAGTATTTACTTATTTATTTATGTTGGAGGTAACAAACAGATATATAATAATATAATAATTATAAAATAGATTAATTTAAATATAAAATCTGCATAACTAATTATATAACCAACACAATCACACGAAATAAAATTATTATTAATATTATTGAGGCTGCTACTTTAATGTGTCTTTGTATAAAAATAAAATATAGAACGTTTATTAGGAACTAATCACAAGTTTATGATATTATAGACTTAGTTAAGTATGACAGTCGAATTGTAAAGAAATTGTGTAATATAACAATCAAGAGATAATATCCAAAAAACAATAAAATGTTTAATCCTTATCCTATTTTTATAGTACATATTTATCTTAATGTTTAACTTTTATATAGTAAATTTCTCGACGCAATATATGCCCGCCGCGCGTGCGGTTGTTTACAGTTGCCGCTGCAACGGCAGGAAAACTACCTAGTAGAATCGCCATAGATCAGCTAATAAAATCGGAGAATCGTGAAGGTCGCAGATGACGAGGGCGCATGGTGACTTGGGCACTTTACTGGCAACCGATCCATCGCACATAATCTGACTTGCGATCATCTAACGTCAAGTGTTCGGGTATTACCGTGTTACTCCACTGCGGGCACAAATCATCATAAAACTGCGCTCTCATAAGTTTGCAATAAAATAGCAGTTCTTCTACATCTGTGAGTGCGGGTAGATATCGCTCTTTCCGTTCTTAGAATAAATAGTCAAAATCAAAATATGTTTATTCAAAACAGCGCAGACAACAGGCGGCTTCCTTATGATAATTAAAATATAAAACTGCGGTTGCCAACTCGATTGCCAAGCGCGGCAACTATGGCAAATATCCTCCCCCCTCCAAGAAGCAATCTATAGGGGAGGCCTATGTTCAGCAGTGGACTTTAATAGGCTGTAACAGTAACGGTAACAGTTTCTTCAAAACCGTTCATCAAATAAATAATTAAAAATTTCGTACAACTGATTTCAATATAAATTATTAAGAATAACTCAAAAAGTATTAGTCAAACCTTGATTAAATATTTATAGGACCACATGAGATGCACCAGCTATTAAATAAAAAAAAGAATAATCGAAATCGGTTCACGCAAAAAAAAAGTTACGAGGTAACACACAAAAAAAACATTTAGTCGAATTGAGTACCTCCTCCTTTTTGAAGTAGGTATAAAAGACTTTTAGTTAAGAAATTTAAGTCAAGAAAGTTAAGTTTGTTGACAACATCGCAACAGTGTGAAGTTGCTGCGTAATGTTAAAACGTTGGCCACAACACGGTAGGCGAGTGAAGTTGCTAACTCTGGGGAAGCAAGAAATAAACCGAGGAGAAACAATTTCGTTTCAGCGGCCGAACGCGCTAGTAGCCTTAAGTCTCGTAAAGAACATCATCATTGTATAATACTTATGCTATTAAATATTTATATCGGTATAGTCGGTGTCTAATTATCAACCTAAGTATAATATAAAGTTTACATCAGAAGTGGGATTAGAAACAAAAAAAAAATGGGTAGGAAAAGAAAATATAGCAGTAAACGCAAGCACAGGAAAACACGTGTAAGATCATCATCCAGCAGCAGCACCAGCAGCAGCACCAGCAGCAGCACCAGCAGCAGCAGTGGCTCGAAAACACCGCCGCTGTCTCCCCAGACCCGAAAGAGAATGAAGGTATCAAATGAAAACTCCACCGAAACTGTAAGTACAAGCCACACAGCGCTTCATAGTATGATACCTGAATTTGATCCGTTAAATGATAATATTGTGACATGGCTTAATGTTATAGAATCTTTTGCATCGACTTTCTCTTGGTCCGATAGTACAATCAGTTATCAAGCATTAAATAAGCTCAAAGGTTCGGCTAAAGTTTGGTACGAATCGCTATTGCGTAGTGATAAATCCTGGACAACTTGGGCGTGGAAAGAATGGAAGTAAAAATTTTTAGTAACGTTTAGGGTAAAAAGAAATACGAAAAATATTATACCGACAAATTTGACCAACAAGAAACAAAGTGTATTAAATTATTTAATTCAAAACAAAGATTCTTTGAGAATGTATATATAAATGAATTTGTTAGCGATGCGTTTATAGATACCGGTAGCAGCTGTTTCTTGATATCATCTCGTTTAGTAAAACAATTTAACCTCCAAAGGTTCATTTTAAAACCGCATGTGATATTGCAAGGGTTTTCCAAAGATAGTGTAAAAGCAGTAATGGAAATGGTTCGTGTAAATATTAAATTAGATTCCGTTAAAATTAATAATGTGGAAATGTACATTCTCAGTGAACTCTCAGGATGTGATATATTAATAGGACGCAATGTGACTGAAGGGCTCGACCTAATGTATTCAAGAATAGGTGAAAACCTTATGTTCGAATATGCGAAAAACGTCGAAAGTGCTTGCAATATCATGGATGAGTTAAGGCTTGATTTTGACACAGACTCTCATTACGATGAAATAGTAAGGTTATTTTCAAAGTACCGTCAATGCATAGCCTCAAATATAAATCAATTAGGTACGGTTATTGGGCATGAAATGGAGATAAATTTACTCCATAGTAAGCCCGTGCAATTTAGGCCGTATAGAGCATCATATTCGGACAGAGAAATTATAAGAAGTTAACGAACTTTTAGAAAACTGTATAATTCGCGAAAGCAATTCTGCATATGCAAGTCCGGCCCTGCCAGTAAATAAAAAGAACGGCGAGAAAAGATTATGCATCGACTATCGCACGTTGAATAAAATCACGATCAAAGATAAATATCCGATGCCCCGCATCGAAGATTTAATCGATCGACTTCAGGGGTGTAGTTTTTTTACCAGTTTGGACTTGAAAAGTGGGTATTATCAAATAAAAATGAAAGAAGATTCGGTTCATAAGACTGCTTTCATTACTGAAGATGAGCACTACAAATTTCTGAGGCCCCCCTTTGGTTTGGCTGGTGCTCCATCATGTTTTCAGCAGATGATGAACCGAGTCTTGGAAAATCTTAGATTTGAAAAAAATATTTTATATCTAGACGACATTTTAATCGTAAGTCAAACAGAGGTAGACCTTGGAACTTCTTGAAAAGGTGTTACAAATTTTCAAAGAAAACGGACTAACTCTTAACTTAATAAAATGTCATTTCTTAAAGACAGATATAGAATTTTTGGGTTACCGAATAAATTCTGAGGGCATAAAACCTAGTGAAGGTAAGGTAAATGTAGTGAAAGACTTTCCCACTCCAAAATCAGTTCACCAGGTGCGACAATTTCTAGGCCTCATTAGTTATTTTCGGAAATTCATAAAACATTGTGCAATCTTGTCTAGTCCTCTCACCAAACTGTTAAAGAAGAATGTCCCCTGGGTCTGGAAAACTGAACATGATCGTGCTTTTATGACCTTAAAAGATGCACTAATTTCGGATAACATACTTATGTTGTTCGACCTTACCAAAGAGTGCGTTTTATATACTGACGCAAGCAGGGACGGAATTGCTGGTATCTTGATGCAGGTTTCAGACTCTGTAAAGAAGCCCATTCATTACTATAGTCGTCAAACCACAGACGATGAAAAAAGTATAATTCATTCGAACTCGAATTATTAGCGGTCGTTCAATCACTAAATAAATTTAGGCATTACTTATTAGGAAGTCATTTTCGCATTATTACGGATTGCAATGCAGTTCGTTTTGCTTTAAATAAAAAGGAGATAATACCACGAATCGCTAGATGGGTCTTGGCGACTCAAGAATTTTCTTACGATATTATCCATAGGGAGGGTTATCGCATACAACACGTAGATGCATTAAGTAGGAACCCTTTACAATCTGGAAGTAAGTCTGAAGCTGAGATAATTATGCCTATCCCGGAAGCAGATTGGCTATTCTCTGTTCAGCTTCAGGATTCGCGGATAGCTGATATCAAAAAGTCTTTAGAATCTGGTGACGCGCATAAATATAAAGATATATTTAACAAATGTGAACTATTAGGTAACAAAGTGTATCGCCGGACAAGCCAAGGTCGACGTTGGGTAGTATCAAAGGCATGCATATGGCAGGTATTAAAATACAATCATGATGACCTCGGTCATTTTTCTGTCGACAAAACAGTCGAGAGAATTTCTCATCGATACTGGTTCTCACGAATGAGACACATAATAAAAAAATATATAAATAATTGTATAAAGTGCATTTATTATAAAAACAAAGGCGGACCAAAGGAAGGAGAACTATATCTATTACCAAAATACGCCCAGCCATTCCATACGTTACATTTAGATTACTTAGGTCCTTTTGTAGAAACTCAGGACAATAATAAATACTTATTAGACGCGTTCACTAAATTCGTATTCATATCAGCTGTGACTAACACCGGCAGTAGCAATGTGATCCAAGAACTCTAAAACATATCGAAAATATTCGGTAACCCGCGAAGATTGATAACGGATGCTGGTTCAGCATTTACCTCAATAATATTTAAAAATTATTGTTTTAAGAAAAATATTAGGTTACACACTGTGGCTAAGGGTATGCCTAGGTCTAATGGGCAAGTCGAGAGGTTTAACAGGACGATTTTAGAAGCCATGAAAACAATGGGAGCAGATTTAAATGAAGATTGTTGGGATAAATATATCATACCCTTACAACAAGCCATTAATATCACGTTTCATAAAACTACGAAAGCTGTCCCTAGCGAAGTATTTTTCGGTTATAGATTGCGAACCGATAGTGATAATTTAATGCCTGAGCTTGAAAATGTTGACGGTTGTACTACGGATGTAACAAAGTTGCATAAATATGTAGACAAAAACATACGGACGAATGCTAACTCCCAAAAGAAAAACTTTGATATCAAACGTACAAAAGCTAAGCAGTATAATGAAGGAGATCTGGTACTGCTAAAAATTCTAAGTATGACAAATGATGGACGAAGCAGAAACCTATTAACTACCTTTAAAGGCCCTTTTCAAATAAAAAATGCCTTGGTCAAGACAGATATGAAGTCCAACACATGAGAGGTAGCGAAAGATCTAGTAGAACCTATAAAGGAGTGGCCGCTGCGGAAAATTTAAAACCATGGATTAAAATTCATGATTGGCATGCTGAATAAACAAATGCTGAATAATAAGAACAAGAGGCGTATTGGCAAGATAAAGATATACATTTTATACACTGAAACATTGCTTAAAATAATCATGAAAAATATTATTTAAAATAATTATTAAATGTTCTTTCATATATCTTTTGTACGCGTGCAGTAAATTGCAATTATCTAAAAGACTAACCCAGTCACTGCCTAGTACGACATAAGTGAACTGGCGGTCATTTTCCTAGGACCAAAGGAATGAACTGAAAACAGTCACATGAAGTAAAGGACGTGAACTGATAAAGTTAGTCTTGTAGGAAGCCTTAAACAAAAAGTGGTTTGAATTAAACTATCAAAGCTCTGTTTTCCTTAAGAGAAAACAGCAATTTGAGTAATCTAACAATAGGTCACATTTTTAAGCGTAACGAGGTGTGTGTGCGCCTGAGGGCAGGCGCAATGCAGGAGGGCCGTGTTTGCAACATCGCGGGAATAGTGTAAAGTTGCTGCGTAATGTTAAAACGTTGGCCACAACACGGTAGGCGAGTGAAGTTCCTGACTCTGGGGAAGCAAGAAACAAACCGAGGAGAAACACTTTCGCTTCAGCGGTCGAACGCGCTAGTAGCCTCAAGTCTCGTAAAGAACATAATCATTGTATAATACTTATGTTATTAAATATTTATATTACGTACAGTCGGTGTCTAATTATCAACCTAAGTATAATATAAAGTTTACAAGTTCGACATTCGTGATAATTGTCGATTCAGGCCTAAAATACGTGCAAGATTTGAAGATCAAATCATCATGAGATGAAAAAATATTTTTTATTCATTCATTACAGATTATCAAAGATCACTGTGGAACGTAGGCTATCCCAATATATTGCTCTACAGGGGGGATATTTGCTATAGTTGTCACGCTGACATGCGGGTTAGCAACCGCAGTTTTTTATTGAGTTGTAATAAAAATAAAAAAGTTTTGTTTTTATAACAACAATTTTTATTTTTATTACATCACGGATATTTTATGAACGTTTATGTAAATTTATTCAATAATTTTATTTTATAGTAAGCAGTATAATGATTGGCACTTTAAGCGGATTTCTACTTGTAAGTGGTTAATTCTCGTAAATAAACAAATTTGTTATATTTTTTATTGTTTTGTTGGATTTTAGTTTAGATAGCCATAAATAAATTAACGCATTACGTTTAAAAAGAAATATTTAATTCAGTTAAAAATCTAGTTAAACTTTTTTCTAGGGAATGTTACAATCATATACATATATATATATATATATATATATATATATATATATATATATATATATATGTATATGTATGTATGTATATATATATATATATATATATATATGTATAATGTTACTTTTAACTACTTACTACTTAATGTTTTAATTTATGAATACCATTTAGCTAGTTTTATTCTTTTATATTTTAATTTTATACAACATAATATTGTGGTGGCAAGCTTTTATTATGTATTAGATATCTGTGGAAACTTCATTGGTTCTTAGGATTACTTTTATATGTTTTATTATGTAATTTATTATTGTACTGTATGTTTCCCTTAAAAAGCAAATAAATAAATAAAAAAAAAAATAAAAATCATTGGCACTTTAGCATAGTGAATGGCACTGTAAATTAAGTATAATCATTGGCACCATTGGATGTCTTAAAAAGTTATACCCAGATCTTTCTAAGCTCCATCTTATTGTTATAAGACTTATTTTGAACAAATCTTCTTCAAAAATGTTCCTTAGATCTTCATCTGAAAGCGGTTTCGTTGGTCTACCATGTTTTTTTCTTTCTTCGTATACATTTTTGATGTGGCTTTTTTTAGTAAAACCTTTCGTGTTTTCCCGATATTTTGTAGAAATAGAACATTATTTCGGTTTTTTAGATTAAACGTTTAGAGAGTATTATGTCAGAGTTTTTAGCTTCGTTCGTCTTGTTTTGTTTGTCAGTATGTTTCTATATTTGGCTGACTAATTCAATTCTGCATTTTCCATTTGTACCCGATTTTTCCATTATTTTTTTAGCTCCGCTGCTTCCGAATCTTCACTTGTTAGCACAAAATAACGGCGTTGTTTACCTGCTTTTTGCTTTTTGATACGTATTTGGTAATGGAAAAAACTCTATAAATATTTTTAGGGCTTTCTAAATGATGTTTGTTTGTTTCGGTATCCACGATCAGCGATCACCCATACACCTCCAACAAATTCTAAATTTGTTGCCTAGTTGATGAAAAACATAAGGGTTAGTTTTTTTTCTGATACTCAACATTAATCCTGCAGGTTGTATACGCTCTGGCACTGATAAACCATTATTAAGTGAAAGGATACAAGGCAAATTTGATACAAGTATTTCTGATTCAGTCGTTATTAGTCGTTATTCTTAAAATATTAGGTAATTCGGCGTAAAGGCAAGGAACGGTGATCATCTAAAATGGCTTGCTGTGATTTCGAGGGTATCGAACACTTTGTTTAATCCACTTTGTCTGGACTAAATGGGCACAACCCACTTGTCTCAAAACCATTTCATAATGTAGACTTATTTCAATACGGTAAAAGTAAAGTAAACTTTAAGATAGTAAATAACTCTATCTCTAGGCACTAACTTCTGAACGTCTGATTACATTTTCTATAGGGGGAAAATAATAGGTTTTACCGTCTACTCCAAAGAACAATGATGCAAGACTTCGATTAGGCATGATCCAACTAATAGACGTTTTATTCTCCCTCTATAAAACGGTTTAGTATGTATGGGGTATTTATTCAAAAATTTCACATCATTGACATTTTTATGACATCGAAAACTGTGCCAGGACCAAGTCGGCTTTTCAGCTTCTTAGTTTTTTTGGCCATTTAGTGAGAACTGTAAATTCGCGCGTGGAATGTGAAATGTTGTTGCGGCAGTAATTTTTCTAAAGCGCCCGCTCTTAATAGCATACATAGATTTTGAACAAAAGAAAGTACAGTGATTGACATATATGCCAATGATTATGTAGTCAAACAAAGTAAAGTATAGTCATTGGCACAATTAAAAAACCGATGCTTCTATTTCACAACGATAAAATAACGTTTAATATGCTTTAATGACGTAAATTGATAAAAATAGACAGAAACTTGCATATAAACTTACCTAAAAATCACATTTTTGTCTCAAAATTTAGCCACAAAACCTTAACTTTTTGTTAAATTTTAATGGATTTGTTCACACACATTTTTAAAACAGCCATTATAGGAAAATAGTTGACACTTTAAATATAAATGTGTATTGTTAGTATAAGTAATTATATATCTTAGCAATATCTGTGTTTTTATAGAAAAAGGAAAACATTCTTAATATTCAGATTAAAAAAAGCAAAGTGCCAATCATTGAAGAAGTGCCAACATTAGTACTGTTTACCCTACTTGAGTTATATTTGTATATATGCGAACCAGACGAGAACACCATAAAAATATCGAATACCTAATTACAATATTTATTTCCGCCATGACGGTAATGTCCTTCAAACCACATTTCGGTCATGGCGGACTGTCTCAATGGAGGCCTGTGTCCAGCGTTTAACATAAAATATAGTAAAATAAAGAAATAAAACCCACTCAGACGGAAGTCCGTTAAGGTGAAAACAAAATGAATCGGCAGACAATGCGGATGATATCGAGAAGCACATCTTTCTACATTTGAGCCTGTAGCGATCCGTCACCGAGTCCTAGTTGCCTCAGTTGACCCAAGAAGCTGACCGGGATTAACTCGTTTGCAGAAACAACCACTGGAATAATTTCGGTTCCTTCGTGAGTCGTGAGCTAGGTGCTAAGGCTACGATATGATTTATTTTATCTGTTTCGGCTTTACCGATGTTCTCGTGATATGGAATGGTAATATCG